CTGCAGGAGCGGCTGACCCACCCACCCAGAGCTGCCGGAAGCAGCACCCAGACCCTGAGTCCTAAACACACCCAGAAGGAGACAGGGTGCCCTGCAGGAGCGGCTGACCCACCCATCCAGAGCTGCCGGAAGCAGTACCCAGACCCCGAGTCTTACACACACCCAGAAAGAGCCAGGGCGCCCTGCAGGAGCAGCTGTCCCAGAGCAGCCGGGTGCTGGGAGCATCTGGGTGCCAAAAAGTGTGCAGAAATTGTCGGGGGCATCATAAAGAGAGGAACCATGAAGGGAGGGGCAGGGGCAGCGTAAGCGTTAAATTAAAAGGTGATGGCATTGAACACAGCCCGACACACCCATGGACACACACAGGTAGGCGGTGAGCGAGGAGGAGGAGGAAAATCTCTTCCGTTCGAGGACGCTAGCAGTGCATCAGAATGACAGCCGACAGACACGGCGGGCTATGAAGACTAAGGGGAGAAGGTGGGGTTTTCTCATCTCAAAGTCTCCCCCCAGCAAACGCATCAGCCAGGGAGATCCCTTTGACGCAGATCGGGCGAGCGCCCAAGGCAAAGGAGGAAAGCAGCGCTGCTCCCGGACGGTGCCGTGTACAGGAGACGCGTGTACGGGAGACGCTCAGCAGGCCCCGCAGGTGCACAGACAGGCAGTCTCAAGTCACCCCCCATCCTGAAATCCTGGACAGGTGGCGTCTGGCAGAGGCTGACCCCTGAGCCGCAGCCGTGGCCCTCCAAAAGGGGAAGGAGCAGAGATTTACTCCCTGCCTAAATTATTCACAAGAAAAGGGAACGTGCCTCTTTAACAAGCCATCGCTTTATGAAGCAAGGTTAACAATTTCACTTGATTCAGTGGAATATTATAAACTCTCTGGGGCCCATTTGAGGACTTCTACTTCAGGCGCAAGGTGACGACTCAGCACTTTTCACATTATTTAGAGAATAAAATTAACCCTCGCAGGCCCGGGCGGCCGCCTGTCCCCGCTGGATCTGGCCGGCTCAGCGCTTTCCCATATATAATTACAAGCTGCGATCCATCATGCGGGTGCCGTGGCGCGGACACTCGGAAAGGCAGCAGTAAGCACTTCCACTAATAGAAGCAGGACCTAAATATCACTTTGATATTTTCATTTAAATTGAAACAGTTTACAATAATCAGCCATGGCCCCCATGGGAATCCTGCCACCACCCCTACAAGGTCTGGGGTTGCCCCAGCCAGACCCTGCCTCCCTGAAGGGGCTTCCCTGCCAGGCTCCAGATTGGGGAGCCGGGCCTGGCCAACCCTTGGCCTGGCAGCAGGAGGAGCTGGGGGCCGGCTCCTCCCGGGAAGTGGGCGTGAGGACTGAGGATGAGGGAGGGGATGCTTGGGGAGGGCCCGACCCACCACAGAATGCCGTGCACAGGGAGTGCGTGGCACAGCTTCTACAGGGCCCTCGCTGGGCAGGAGAGACACTGGAGCCTAGGGCTGGCATCATTGCGGGTGGACTGGGAAAGGGTTCTTGGGGTGCCTGGTGTTCTCGGCTTCACGGGGATTTCAGACCCTGAGGCAGGGCCGACACTCACAAGGTATGAGGGCTGGGTGGCAGTGGGCCCTGCTGCAGGCCCCGGGGCTCCCTCTCAAGGTGCCAGGGACTAGGGCGCATCTCCAGTCCCCCAGCTCTGGGCCATAGCTTCCCTTGCAGCCGTCTACGGGCCCCTCCCCTGCCTAAGCCAAGAGACCCCAGCCTTAGCCACCAGCAATAGGCCAGGTGCAGGAGCCCCCAGGGCAGGGAGAGCCACAGGCGTGAGAGGCTGGGGGAGAGGGGGCTTGTACCTGGGACCAGGATCACTGGGGCGGCTGAGGCCACAGTGCTTGGAGTCCTAGTGAAGTCCTTGCGGGGAGTCCTAGTGAAGCCAGGAGGGCAGATGAGGCAGAGGGGAAGGAGCCAGCTCCGCTGCTGGGAATCTCCCAGACAAGCGAGCCTGTGAGCGCCTCCACAGTGCAGGAGTCAGCCATGCCCCCAGAAGAGGCGAGTCGGAGCCATCGGCTGCAGGTGAACCTCGCAGCCCAGGGCCCCAATTCCTCACCCAGCAGTGGTGCCCCACAATGAGCTCCAGGGCCAGCTCACTCCAGCCTCACCAGCCACAGCTCAGGTGGCCCCCTCGGCTCTGCCTGGCCCACCCCTCTGTCCCAGCTGTGTGGGAGTGTCCCGTCCACCCCCTGCCTTCCTGAGGAGGCTGCTGGCCAAACATCCACCTGCAGCCCTGCCGGAACCCAGCCTCCAATATCCCCTTCATCACACTGCCACCCCAGCAACATCCCAGGGGCTGCCCCGGCCCAGGCACCACACCCGCCCCCATCCAGGGACAGCTCCCACGGCTACACAGGCTGCACCTGGAAGTCTAGGTCCTCTGCAACTCACCTTCCCACGGTTCAAACCCCACCCTGTGCTGGTGTTGTGCCACCCCGGGAAAGCTGCTGGACCTCTGAATCACCTGTGAGGTGGAGGTGATGACACTGACCACCTCAGGGCTGCAGAAGGGTCATCCAGCCACCACGGCAGGCACCCAGGAGTGAGCAGAGGGTGACCAAGCCACAGGAACCCCGCCCACTCCGGCCCCACGGACCCCTCACCTTTGCACCCAGGGGGCAGTAGCCTTTGAGGAAGTCGCTGCAGACCTCGGCCTTGCGGGACACATACACGTGACTGTAGGGGCAGTTGCTGTTGCTGCAGATGCCCTTCAGAAAGTACGAGCACACTGGCATCTGTGGGGAAGGGGGGGCAGTGAGGACCAGCGGGCAGCTATTCTCCAGGGCCCACAGACGGTCCTCCCCAAGACAGAGGTGGACATGCTGGCCGGCCGGCCGGCAGGAAGGCCAGCCACCAGGAGCTGCGGGGCAGGGAAGCTGCTGCTCAGAGTGGGCCCAGCATCCCCAGGGGAGCCGCACCCCAGCCCTCGCTCTGTGGAGAGGAAGCACACAGCAGCCTACAGCCCTGCGGCTCAGCCTCAGTGGCGCTCTCCTGCTCTGAGCCTGTCCACCATCTAGGGCAAAGGGGCGGCCAGGGCTCCCAACCACTAGCCTGTGGCCATGGCTGCCCTCAGAGCCCCTCAGGCCATGGGGCCAGTGTCTGGATGGGAGGACGAGCCACGGGCCAGCAGCCAACAGAGAGCTCCCCAGGCACCTGCCCTGTGGGCCACAGCAGTGTCCCTGGGCTCTGGGTGGGCAGGGCCATCTGGGAGCAGGCCTGGTGTGCAGGCCAGCACTATGGGGGCTGAGGCCTGTCAGCAGGAGGGTCCAGCAGCCCTCCTCCCCAGCACAGGGCCGCTGGCTACAGTCAGGGCTTGCTGTCACCACCTGGGCTGTGAGACGGAAGAGATGCGCTGTCCCCCCATCTGGGGAAGCTGAGGCCTGAGGAGCACTGGCGGGGCTAGGGCCACCCAGAGAGGGAAGCAGGGGCCTCCTGCCATCTCCAGGAGACACCTCCCTGCCCCTCATGGGCCACCACGGGCTCCTCCCGGGCTGCCTGGGTGTCCAGAACGGGGATGTCCTGCCTCAGCATGGAGCCCCCACAGAGCCCCTACCGGCACCCCGGGGTCTCTAGCCACTCCCCTGGCTATTCCTGTTCCCTCCAATGGCCTCTGCAGAGCACAGCCCCATCCCCCCTCCAGGGCCAGACCACCCTCCCTGCCCCCACCCCACCCTGAGCCCCTCCCCTTCCCAGAGCCCTGGGGAAGCTGGGCAGACCCAGAGACTTTAAAAAGTCACTTTTCTGGGTGAGGTTGGAGAGGGGAGAGGAACTTGTCTAAGGCCAAGGAGGGAAGAAAGGGTCCAGAGAGCCAGCGGCCGGCCAGGGCTGAGAGGGAGGGAGAAGGCAAAGAAACAAAGGGTGATTTAACGAGCGGGAGTTTATTTCTAATTGTCTTTTAACTGAGCCGCAGAGGGGAGAGGGGCTGGGGGCCCATTTGGGGCTGGCGGTGGTGGGCTGTAGACAATTCCCTTAATGTGGTTTTTGATATAGAGCCCAAATTAGCTCTAATAAAAAGGGATGATAAAGCCAAATCTCCACCAAACGGAGCTCCTCCTGGCTGTCAGAGTGGGGCTGTTATCAAGAGGAAACTGCGTTCTCATTTCAATTAACCTTGTTTGCACCCTGCCACGTCCACACAAATAACAATAACATTAATTCAGGGCACTGGTGCGGGGCGTCCACATTAGACAGCTTGGAATGTGCTCCGGCTTTGGAGCTGGGAGCTAATGAACCCGAAACTCGACGTGAATTTCCAAATTGCTCACAACAGAGTTCCGAAGCTCTATTAGGGAGAAAAATGCTGATTCTTTTCAAGTTCCTCAAGGGGAAAAGCTGTTGCAGCAGCAGCACCCCGGCCCGATGCTGCCTCCCTCACCCGAGGCAGCCGCCATTCCACTGGCATCCCGTGACCACACCGCGGCCGAGTCCAGGGCATAGGGGCTACGTGTGTCCCTGCCAGACTGACCCCTGACCCTGGCCCCAGAGCTCTCTTGCTTCTTCCCAGCCGGGACCCACCTTGGCTCCAGGTGAGTCTGTGGGGTTTTGGGCGGCAGGAACACCCGCATGGGCCAGGAGCCTTGCTGTGCACATGTCCAGCCCCTCCCTCCCGCCCTCTGCTCAGGCAGCCTCCCCTTGAGTCCCTCACACACAGCTTCCCCCGCCCTGAGGCCTCAGCCCTGGGTCCACAGGGCCACCTGTAAAGCCAGCTTCCCCTGGGCATGTGTATGGGGGGTCTGGGGATCTGGTGAGGCCTGCTGGTGCCAGAAGGGAAAAGGGACCCCGACATGTGGTTAGGGGGGACCCATCAGCACCGCTTTGGCGGGAAGAGGGAGCCTGGCGGCACGGCCCACAGCGGGGTGGAGGCAGCACGGCGGAGGCAGCACGGCAGCCTCTAAGGACACCAGGGCCGGGATCTGCATGTCCTAAGCCCAGGGAATGCAGTGGGCACCATCTACCTGGGGGCCGGGCGGCCGAGGCCCCAGAGAAATGTGAATGGGAGCAGGGCTGCCAGTGCCACACTCACCTTCTCCTTGGACACATGGTGTGAGAAGGGGCAGGTCCCATCCGTCTTCTTGCAGGTGCCCCGGACAAACCTGCAGCACCAGGAGAGAAGGGTGTGAGGAGGGGCCGCAGGGACCGAGAGCAGGGCCTGCTCAGAACCTCCCCCGGCCCCGCGGTGAGGGCAGGAGGGCACCTGGTGCACACGGCCACCTTCTCAGGGTCGTGGATGTAGGGGCAGCGCTCGCCGCGGTTGCACCTGCCGAAGCGGTTGTAGTACATGCAGAACTCCTTCTTCTTCTCCCTCCGCTGCCGCGCCTGGCGGATGATGGCCAGGCTGCGCTGCACGGCCCGGCTGCGGACAGGGAGAGACGGGCGTGAGCCCGAGGGCGAGCAGGGAGCCCGCCCACTGCCCAGCCCGAAGGAAGTACCTGGCCAGGGAACGGCTACAGCTGCCTGCAGGGTCCAGTCGGCCTGTGGGGAGAAAGGCCTGAGTCACAGCGGGCCAGGGCCTGGCCTGCACATCCTTTCCCTGCTGAGCCCTTAGCCAAGGCCCTCCGGGGTCCCAGCACTCAGCTCAGACACAGCCTCCCCTCCCCACAGTGGGTCAGAGGCCCTCCTGGGCCCTGCCAGGCCCCACTGGGGACACTGCACTGAGGGTGGGGAGCTGCTGGGCCTGGTGTCTGGCTCCTCTCCAGGGCAGGGGCTGGGCAGGGCTCCTGTCCATGCCCTCAGAGCTGGCAAAGCCAGGCAGCACCTGTGGAGGGCTCAGTCACGTGGGCTGGTGCTGCCTGTCTGCTCCTGCTGCCTCTCTGGAGAGGCACCCCAGGCCCATACTCTGCTGCCTGGACCTCCCCTGCTGGCTTTCTCATGTCCCTGGGTGCCCACCCTGGGCCAAGGCAGTGACTGGACCATGGACACTGCTCCTGGCTCTCTCCTCAGCCCTGGCCACAGGGAACCTGCCCTGTAAATAGCACAGCCACTAACACCACCACCTCCCTCTCCAGGGCCTGGCCCAGGGCCTGTGGGGGCCCTGTGGGGTTGCTGACCAGGGCATGAATATGGCCCATGGGCACCTGTGACCAGGCCTTTTAGGAGCAAGAGCAGTTTCTGATTTTTAGAGGGTTGTAAAACCAAAACTAAAGAAATGCAGCAGAGAAGGTGCTGGGGCAAAGCCTGGTCAGTGGCGGCTTCTGCCCACCGCAGCTGTGGGCGCCTGGGGAAGGGATCTGTCCCCGAGGCCCTGGCTGGCCCTGGCAGATCCTGGCGGTGCCTGCTGCTCTAAATTTTGGAGGTGCCTCATCAGATGCTCCTCGAGCATAAGGACCACCCCAGCCTTTCTGAAATTGCACACCACAGCCTGAGGGGGTAGCGCTGGCGGGAAGGGAATGGACCTTGGGGCTGGCCACCGTTGAGCAATGCGAGGCCTGAGAGCCAAGGGGAAGAGGCAGGGAGGGGGCCCTGAGTGCCGGAGGAGGGTCTGCTCTGGTGGCACAGCCCTGCCTGCCTTTTACAGACAGAGGTCACCCCCAGGATCACGGGGCGGGCAGGGCAGGACAAGCCTGCTGAGGGCAGCTTTCCCGGGTTCCTCAAATACACACATGACCCTGTCCAGACCAGATCCGATTTCCTACAGGGCAAATGCTGAAATAGACACTGTGGTTAAGAGGCAGGGGTGACATCACTCAGAAATTCTAGGAACCTGAGGTGGTGGCAAAGCCATCCTGGTTTAAAAAGGGATGTCCCACAGCTGCCCCGCCCTGCCCCACTGTGAGCACCAGAGAGCAGCCTTGTCTTCACTCTCGCAGGTTGCCCAGTGCCACAGGCTCCCGCCCGAGGACCCAAGGCTTCCGTTCCTTTGCACCCCCAGGCTGGAGCTCCCACACTCCTCACTTTGTGCTTTGCATCCAGCCCCGCCCTGGCTGACTGGGGTCGGTGGTGCTGCTGCCCTTTGCCCTCTGGGACCCTGAGTACTGCCCCGCTCTCGGTCCATCTCAAGTTTCAAAGGGCAGCTCCAGAGCTAAGTGGAGGACTTGGCTGGGGCAGAAGCAGAAGCAAGTAATGGTGCCTGGGGGCAGGAAGGCAGAAACCTGGGGGGTGGGGAGGCCAAGGGCAAAGGGAGGGTGATGAGGGTCTTGGTGTTGGGGGCTAATATGGGAGGGGCTCTCGGGCTGGGACAGGATGCTTGTCCTCGAGTGGGCAGCAGGCCCCCACCCAGGCAGCACAGTGTGGTGAGGGACAGGCAACTTGGCGGCCTGTCTGCGGTGCTGGTTCCCGAGCTCTCACCCAGCTGCCGGTGACAGCATGGCGCCATCTGCTCCCAGCCAGGGACATGCTGGAGTCACGCGCCTGCCTGGCAGGACCGGGGTTCGGGGCTGTTACTTCCCTTTCCACTCTGCTCTCTTTAAAAAAACACCAGCATGAGGCTCACGGCAGGAGTTCTGAGAAGAACAGGAGGCACTTTTTCAAATGCTTTGCAGTGTTAAAAAATGCACATAAAGTAGCTGGCTGGAAAAGTGGCAAGGGCTGCCTGAGAGGTGCTAAAAAGTTCAACTGAATAACCCCCAGCAACTCGACAGCAGAAGGTGCCATGCACCTTCACTTCCCCAGGACCTTCCTAGAATAGACATGGCCCCCGCCAGCCCCACCCCCCACTCAGTGCCCCAGTGCCGCTCTGGGCTGGGCTCCTTCTGACATCGGGCACTGCTGATGTCAGGCTATGCAGGGCAAGTGGGATGGGGGCCTGTGGTCAGGGCTTCCTCGGCACCTCCAGCCCGTTCCGGCCAGCACCCCTTGGATGGCTGCTGCCTGGCCCAAGGGACAACATCCATGACAAGCAGGGCACGCAGGCAGCCCCAACCCCCAGGCCGGCCCTCTCCCAGGAAGTCAGGCAGAGCTGCACCAAGCCCTGGTCTGCTCAGAGCATGCCCACCAGGTCCTCCAGGGCACATCCATCTGCCTCATGGAAGCTACACCCTTGGCAGGAGGTGGCCAGCAGCAGAGGACGCCCCAGGAGAGGCGATGTGGGGGTATGCGGATAGGGCCTTCCTCATCATCCCAGGGAGGTCAGATAGGGCCTTCCTCATCATCCCAGGGAGGTCGGATAGGGCCTTCCTCATCATCCCAGGGAGGTCGGATAGGGCCTTCCTCATCATCCCAGGGAGGTCGGATAGGGCCTTCCTCATCACCCCAGGGAGGTTGGGCAGGTGACGAGCAGGGGAGGTGTAGAGGTGTGCAGAGGTGCACAGAGGCCCCACGTGCCAGGAACACTGAGCAGCTGGCCAGCAGCAGAGAGGGCCACAGCCACAGGTGCCTCACTCTGGCCTGGGGGTTTTGGGGACACAGAACCAGCCAAAGCCAGGCCTGTGGCCTGAGACAGCCCCCCCACAGGAACCATCAGGCTCTTGGTGGCCACACATGGGCCCTGCCCATTGGGTACTCACACTAGAGTATGTAGGGAGGGGCCCTGGAGCTCAGCCCTTCAGGTGGCAGGCAGACCAGGAGGAAGGGCTGGGCTTCAGGGAGTAGGGAAGCTAGGGTAGAAGCCACGCTATCCTCTGCCATCAGGGGCCCAGAGCCCGGGGGTCAGCCAGGACAGCACCCCCACCCCTTCCAAGAAGGCTATACTTTTTTGTTGAAGTCAAATTTCTGCTGACACTAGGGTAGAAAATTTATTTCTTTAACTATTATTCCTCTAAGTGGGCCGATCAGCGGTATCCCACAGCCGGGAGCCATCTACCTTCCTCACGGTGAGGCGGGACTGGTGGGGGCCCAGGCAGCTGGAGCAGTGGCTTTGCCTGCCAACCCGAAGGGCAGGTATGGGCTCCCTGGGTGCTGCACAGCCTCAGGACTGCCACAGTCGCCACCAAGGCTGGCCAGCAGGACACCGGCAGCCCTAGCCCTACCTGACAGCAGGTGAGACCTTCCCAGGGACAGAGGTGCGAACAAGGAGGCCCCGGGACCACTGCCCACCCTAGCTGACACTGGCCTCAGTGCACCAGGTCCTCCTTGCTTGCATTGCTGAAGCTGACCAAGGGAGCTCTGGGTTGCTGCTAGTGCAGGGGTGAGATGGGCCCAGAAGGGCTAGGGGGACCAGGGCTCTCTGATGTCAGGGGCTCTGCGCCCGCCGGGACTCTGCCATGTGTGTAAACGGGAAGGCGAGATTCTGCGGAGCTCAGCACTTGGCACTGGAGGGGAGACGCCGCAGCAGCGCCGCAGCCTCCCAGGGAGGAGTGTGGCGGCCCCTCCCTCTCCTCCCCACTGCTGAGTGGCCCGCCATACACTCCCTCCTTCCCAGAGCTCAGACCCTGCACCGTCCGAGTGGTGGGCACCGTGTTTAGGGGGGCCAAGTGCAAGCCTGCCACCTGCCTGCTGTCCGCCACAGGCGTCTCGTGGACACTGAGGGATGGGAGGAGCCGGGCCACCAGGTACACCTTCCCCCACAGGCCTACCCAGCCCAACACACATGGGCTGCAGGATCCCAGCGAGGGCTGAGACAACCCAAGGACCCCGCTGAGGGCTGAGACGGACCCAAGCCACAAGCCCCTCCGTGGGTCCCACAAGTGCATGATGTGTGAGCCTGAAGATGGGGAGAGAGTCCCAAGGACACAACCGACCCAGTGCGAAGAGGCGGGGCCAGCCTTGGCGCTGTGCAGGGAGTGGGAAGTGGCTGCTGCCATGGGGGCCGCTCCCTGAGTGGGTGGGTCCCTGGAATGGGCTCTGGCTCTAGAAAGGACAGTGGGCATCCCCTCCCAAACTCCAGCTTTTACAGAGCAGGGCAGGGCCTACCGACTGACTGCCTGTCCTGGCCACCTGGGGCTCTCGGGGACATCAGGACGTCATGGTCTCCATGGCTGCTGTCTTGGCCCTTAACCAGCAACCTCAGTCAGTATTATCATCATTACTACCAGGAGCTTTCTGAATGGGGTGCAGTGGTGCCAGGCAGATGACCCCGCCCCGCCGGCTGTGCACAGGGTCCGGCGATGCCTGGTAATGCCCTGCACGCTCCCGCCCAGGCCTCCACATGGCCGCCTGGGGATGTGCTTGCTGCTCCCATCCCTCCTGGCCTCCTCTCAGATTTTAGTTCATGAGAAAAGCCTCCCTGACCGCCTGACTGGACACAAGTCTGTGTACGTACAACCTCTGGACCCCAGAAATCCTCACTTGTGTTCGGCCTGTACCCCCGCTGCACTAGGACATCAGAGGCAGCATCTGTGGAAGGCTCAGGGCACGCTCCCACCCAGGCAGGCAGGTGAGGGCTTGGGGTGCCCTTCCGTGGGTAGAGGGATCAGCCCAGCTGCTCTGCCCACTGCCTCCAGGACCAGAGCGGAAAGCCAGTGCGGGGACTGCACCTGCAGGGTCAGTGCACTCAGGACCACGCCAGCTAACGTGGGGCTTGGCCTGTGCCAAGCAGTGAGGCTGGCTTCCAGAGCCGTGGGCAAGCAGCCCCGGGGGAAGGTGGGACCAGCCGGCATGAGCAGAGAGAGGCCACCTCTTGGCTTCATCCCAGGGGGCCAAGCACAGTGTCTTCAGAGCACCTGCTGCCGGCCCAAGGAGCTCCTCTGCTCAGGCTCCCTGTGGGCCACATGGCTAGTGGCTGCTGGATGCCACAGGCAGCTGGGACCTGCCGTGCAAGAGACTGGGCATGGGCTTCTGTTCACTCAGGGAGGCGCCTGCTGGAGAGGAACCTGAGGCTGCTGCCCTCCATGATACCAACGGCTGTGTGTAGAGCCCCAGGGACCACCAAGTTCTGGGGTCACAGGTACCCAGAGCAGGCCTTGCTGGGTGACAGGAGGACCTGTCCCCTGACCCATGGCAGCATCCCCCAGAGGCAGAGCCTCACCAAGGCCCCCATGTTCTGGGCCAGCTGCTGCACTGATCACCAGGGTGAAGAAAAGATGAGGCCACGTGCACAGATCACATGGCCTAGTCCCTCAAGGCACATGCAGGAGTCACACAATGCCTAGGTGGGGACCCAGGGCTTTTCACCAGATGCTCAGCGAGCGGGGGCTTATTCCTGCTCAGTTCACTGGGCCCCCCAGCACCGGCCATCAACTACAGGCATGGGCACAAGCACTGGCCAGCCAGTGTGGCTCGGAGAGCCCTGTGAGGCAGGTGCCAGGGCCCCCATGCTGCTCCTTGGGAACACGTGCCCAGCGACCCAGCCTGGGAAACAGCCCAGAAGCCCCTAGAGCCCAGAGATGGACGCTAGGAGCAGAGCATCCTGGCAGCCCGTGAGGCTGGCTTCCAGGGAGGCAGGGCGGCCATCTCCCTGAAGCTGCCAGCCACACCTACAGCCCTGCAGAGCCATGGGCAAGCAGCCCCAAGGTGTGGGCTCAGGGCCTGGCATAGGGCTGGCTTCCGGGGAGAGATGCTCCTTGCCTCTCCTCTGACCCCCGCAGACCCTGCCCTTGGAGTCTACCTCCTCCAGGTGCTGAACCCGTCCTCCCTCCAGGCCCCAGGTGGGTTGGGGAGCTGGCACTGCCCAGCATCCGCAACCTCAACACCACTTGCAATCTCCCCACGTTTTTTTTTTTTGATGGACAAGAAGGGGTAAAATTGGACTGAAACCAAAATATTTTTCTAGTTAATTTGTAGGATAAGTGAATCCAAAGCATTTCCTTCTCCTGAGCCTGTTTCCCTGGGCTGGGAGGGTGCGAGGCGGCGGCGCCAGCTGCCTCCAGACACAGTTGTCGAGGCGTTGCCAATGTGATTACGGGCACCGCGCCCCAGGTGTGCGCTCGCCCGGGCGTGTTTACCGTACCTGGCCTCATCCTTTGTCCAAAAGTGAAACACGGCGCTAGTGAGCAACCCTCCCCCACCCCACGGAAAATCAGGGGCCGCTCAGCCAGGCGAGCCGGTTGCCACTCCAGGGCCCTTCCTGCGGGATGGCAGAGAAAGGCCTCCTGGCACCCTCCAATCTCCGGCTGCCCTGTCCCTCTCACTAGGGATGGCTATGAAGGCGCTGGGTGTATGAAGAGTGAAATTAACTCCCAGGTTGGGACGTGACCCATTTGGGGATGCCTGTTTGGACTGGCTCCCGGGAAGCATGAGGCTCCTGACCACCTCCCCAAGACAGGGGCCTGAGCCAAGGCCTGGAGTAGCCATGGCATGTCGGAGGTTAGGGGTCTGGACTGCAGTGCCCACCACACACTGGTTGGACGGTGTCATCCCCCAGCGCCCCCACCCCACCTCTCACCTGTGCGGAGGAGGGGCCTGCTGCTGGCATCACCAGGCTGGCCGGAGGTCTTGGAGAGCTTGTTGGCAGACACTTTGTAGAGGACCCCTCCGATGCAGCGGTAGCCTCTGCTCCGCCACCGAGGGGAGCCTGGTTGTGCTTTCCCACCCCCGCTGGCAACTGGACGCAGGCGGTTCAGCACCAGGGACCTGCAGAGACAGGAAACGCCTGTCAAACCTCGCCCCCAAGGCAGATTACAGCTCTGGAGGTCAGTGCCAGGGGCCAAGCCCAGGCCGGCCTCCCAAGGGGGACAGCAGCACTCACAGTGGGTACACACTGCAGCTGGGGCGACCACGGACCACTGGCCCAGCTGCCAAGAGACCTCTGTCCCCCACCCACCCCCAACCTTCGCAGCTGGGCAACCACAGGCCATCAGCCCAGCTGCCAAGAGACCTCTGTCCCCCTCTGGTCCCTAACCCCCACATCAAGGACATTTTGGCTGTCATCAGGGAATGCTGACAAGGAGTCCCAGGAGATTGTGCCCCCAACCCCACTCATGAGGTTGGGAACTCATGAGCCCTTAAGAGCCACGGTGAGGGAGCAGCATCCTCCTCCAGTGCACACCTCTCCCGTGGATGTAACTACCCTGGGCCCTGACCATCTGGCTGTGTACTGTGGGATAAGGGTCCCTGGGGCTGCAGGGCAGAGGGGCTGCAAGGTGTCCACGTGTTGATGAGAAGCACAAATGGCCCTTGGCACCTGGGCTGAGGCTCCCCTTGAGTCTGCTTCAAGTCTGGGGCTGTTTCTACCAACGAGGCCCTGGCACATGCCATCCTGGCCTTCAGGACCACAGACACCATAGGGTCAGCAGGCTGCCCTGCCTCTCCTCCCCTCCACCTGTCCTGCCTCCCCTTCACCCACAGCTCAGAGAGTCCTGCACTGAGCGTGCACAGAGGCAGCCTCACAGACCCCCAGCCAGGCAGGCTGTTTGCAGAAACACTGGTGTTGCCTCAAGTCCAAGGGCTGAAGAGGCCGGAACGGTCCCTGGAATTAGCTGAGCCAATGACCCCAGTTAGAGGAGGAGACCGAGGCCAATGGACCCTGAGCCCTGCCAGCCCCCACTCCTGCCAGATACCCCACAGCTCCTGGGGAAGCCCGGGGACAGAGCAAGACAGGAGGGGCCTGAGCTGTACTCCAGAGGCATCTCCCTGAAGCTGCCAGCCACGCCTACATCCCTGCAGAGCCAAGGGCAAGCAGCCCCAAGGTGGGGGCTCAGGGTCTGGCATAGCCTTCTGCAGGGCATGGGCTGCCAGGGTACATTTCGGCAGTGATTTGCTCATGCAAATTGAGCTTCATTCCAAATTAGCTCACACTATGCTCGGGCTGCCATGATCTGTGAGGTGGATACCATGCCCTTCAGTAATCTGGGCAGGCGTGTGCTGGGCCATCCCTCCCCAGTAGCCATGAGTAGACAGGCGGCAGAGGGGCCAGCAAAGTGGGAGGCATGGGTGGACAGGTTAGGCCTGGCGCTGGGCTGTGCCCTGCTCTACGCGCCCTGTGCCACATGTGTCCCCTTGGCCTTGTAGCTGCCACAGGCCCCTCTGCTGTGGAATACACGGCCCCAGCCCTGCCACAGCTGCACAGGCCCCTCTGCTGTGGAATACACGGCCCCAGCCCTGCCACAGCTGCACAGGCCCCTCTGCTGTGGAGTACACGGCCCCAACCCTGCCACAGCTG